ATGCATTCCAGTGAAAACGGATCTCTTAGCAACTGTCCCGACGATCTTGGTGGTATAGATGTGCTGCACTAGTTTTAGGAACAAATCTTAATCGCGTGGCGAAACGCATTCTAATTTCCAAGCTTTTTCACCTTATGGCCAGATAGATGCCTGCCTCAGACTGAATCACAAGACAAAGACGCCTAATTTAGCACTCTTTTCCTCTTAAAATAATTCCACCACTCCCCACTCTTCTACCTTCGCGTCTTCTCCCTTGTCTTCGCATTGTTCTAGCTTTCAACGAATGGATGATACATGCTCATCATAAACAATACGGGTAAGAGGCTTCCACATGCACGCTCTGTTTGCTCTGTGTTTGCAACTAAGAGAACACGGAGCGATTCCTAACAAATCCCGACTACAAATGATATTTTGACTAGCCCTTTACAATCTCCTGATAATTCAAAACACCCCAATTTTTCTGCCCAAATCTTCAGTCATTTAAACATTTAGATCCCAAATGGTTTTTTTTTTTGTCCTGATGGATGATGGAGGGGACAAGGGACCAAAAGGACTGATGCAGAAATACCACTGGCATTTGAAAAAATCAGCTAAGGCATGGTTCCTGTTTTCATTATTTATTTTTAGCTTTTAACACCAAATTTGTTTTTATACATTTTGCTATAAATCAAAGGCGTATTATGGTGAAATCATGCATGCGTCTATACGCATAGATGTGTGTGCGTGTTTATAAATGTGTATTTGTTTGGATAATGTAGTTGTAGAAGTGAAAAAGTCAGAAAATGAATATCTGAGCGCAGTCCCCAACTGTATTTGGAGTCGGGAACTTGGAACCATATTTCGGATACCTTATCTTTCCAGGAGATCCAGTTCTATGCTAGAATTACAGATCAACCAGTCTTAAAAGTTGTGGATCAGACAAGCGTTCGTACCCTACGTGTGTGTGTGTGTGTGTGTGTATGTATGTATGTGTATGAGTGTGTATTTATAACCATCACTTAGGTATAGATGGATGCGTATTTATATTTTTACTGCACAACAAATTATTAGCTATACAGAGTAAATTAAAATAGAAAGAAAGAAAATATGGCAAGGCTACTAGGAGCCGAATCTCGCCAGAACAGAGTGGTCGAATCTGACGCAGAGACGAGGTCGAAGAACAACACATATACATACACAAATAGGGCACGCACACTACTCCAACCCACAGTTTTTAAGGTCGCGATACCAACTAAAAATCTATACTACAACTTTTGAGCATCAAGTTACGAAGACACACGAACAATGCATTATTATGCATGTGATCTTTGACAGCAAACCCAAATTCATGTAACTGCTTCATAAACGCAAGACGAGAAAATCTGCAAATTTTGAAATTCGAAAAATTGCTTTAATGCTAGGTTATGACCCAAAATGAGATAGCAGATCACGGCACGTTCGGATCTGTGCTGTGGGACTAAATACAGAGCGGATTAGAGCCTAAATCCAAAATGCATGCAGGATAAGCCAAGCCAGATGTCCCTTCTGACAAATCAACAAGCAGTTCTTGCACTACGCATTCATCACAGTATGTCCACTTATCCGGAACCGGATGCACAGTGATGAATGCCTAAGTAGTTGCAGGAGTTGGTTGCTGATTTGTCATGATGTGACGTTCGACCAGTTGGGAGTGGGTTGCATCGGCTAGCTGGAAGCTCATGCTTGCTGCTCCTTTGATGCAGCCCACTCGCAGCCATCAGAAATTCATAAAAATCAAGGCATCCGAGATGGATGCATTTTTCTGGTACAATTGGGCATCCTTGCACAAGGGTGGGGGCAGGCACATATAAAATTCTGTGGTTTCTGATACGCAATAGTTCATTTTGTCGCTTTCTTCATTTTCACTAGCTCGTCTTTGTAACGCAAGACTATTTCTAGGAGGGCGCATTAATTTTTTTATTAGTCTAGGAAGAGGCTGCTGAAATGCAGCAAGTGTGGGTGGATGAGTATGAGGAAGCTGCCCGGCCAGCTCTCTGCCTCTTTGCTGCTTCGTACAGGTATAAATTAGCTGCTGCAGTTCGAGCTCCTCCGTTCACTCCCATACGCTTCGAGCAGTAGCAGCAACACCGTTTGGCTCATCTTTGTGGAATGAAGCGCCGCTACCCGCTCGGGATCGGTCTCTCCAGTGCTTCATTCCTGTCGGGCCTAACCAGTACGGCAAGCAATGATGGTGGCGGCAGCAGAAGCAGCACCGAGCTATCCAGGAAGCAATCCAGGAGGCCTGTCTCTGTGTCTGTGCGTGTACGTGGGTGTTCATAAACAACAATACCACCAACACATGAATGCCCATTCGACCGGAATCGCATCCAGCAAAGCTTATCCCATCCAAGCCTGCTGCTTCCTGAGTTTGCTTAGCAGACAACTGTGCAACATTTACACACTCACTCGGATACACATGTATAAATATAAATGCCGAAGGGTGAGTGCGCCTGCATGTTCGATGGCCGAGATCCGGGAAAAAGCACTGTGTATTGTTGCTGCTGCAGCTTCTTTCTTCGGTTACCTGTTGCCCGCCTCATTCCACTGCTCGACGAGCTTTTTGTCTCTGGAGAAGTGTGGCTGATAGAATTTCCGATTGTCTGCTAATTAATCCTTCACTGCGTACTATTAGTTCAAAAGCGACGATGACATTCTGCAACTGCTGTTGCGTGTGTCTGTCCGCTGGACTTAAAAGATTTTGCTAACTGACCCAGCTGCTTGGATAACAGAGGAAGAACCAAGATCCTCAGCTGCCGCTCCAAGACAAGTGATAAAGAAGTTGAATGTGTGTATACGGTGTGTGTGCTTGGTGATATGTTAGCTTAACTTGCTTCATCACTTCCTCGTTCTGTTATCCCTCCATCCTTCTCGCTTAATTTGCACTCCTCGCTCCCATTACTTCTCAGCTGTAGCGACGACTGAAGTGCCAAAGACGATGGGACTTAACGATCATCGCGTTTAAACATCCTTCACTTCATTTCAGTTGCAGTAAGAACTTTTGGTTTTACAACACGCATCTCAATTTCGGCCCCGGCTATTTCACTTTTGAAAATTCCCTATTTTAGCTCAGTCCCAGCTGATTATGCAGCATTTGCCGGACCCTTTTCTCATCTTCGTTTTCCA